TTGTGTTCATCGCCTCAGTTTTGTAATTAAAACAGCTTCATCTGAGCAATCGTGTTTTGCTCCAAATCCTTGAAGGACTTCCAAAAAACAGCAACATAATTCGATATCATCTGTCATGGTGTATTAATGGAAGAATGTATTAAAAATTGACAAGCTTGTCTTCAACGACTTTTCGATTTCAATTTATGCCTCAATAAAAAAAAGTCATGTTTTCAAGAACAAATCGAATACTTGGGAAGAGTCATAGAATTCTACAAAATCGGAAAATCTCCCGCTCAAACGAAAGCAGTAGAGCGGATGTCTCGATCATCCAATGCAGAAAAAATCAAATGCTTTTCAGGCTTTTTCTCCTCTACTACTCTGGTTATTTTCGGACATCTCAATCTTGTCCTATTCTCTTTGACGACTCCTACAAAAAGATGCAAAATGCTGCTTCTGAAGCAGCCTTTTGAAAAACCAAAGTAGCGATAGGTTTCTTGTTCCCTTCGATCCAGGTCTGCCATTGGTCTTGACGACAGATGTCAGCCCAACAAGACTGCAATTCTCAGCCATTCAATCAAAAGAGTTGAAAGACCTGTCGCTTACACTTCTCGCTCGCCAATTAGACCGTAAAAGTCTTGCTATCAATTTTAGAGTATGTCATTTCTTCTATTACTTTTTTGGGGCACGTTTCACATTGGTCACACACAATGAACCAGTTTCAAGGATTTTTCAGTCTAATAAGGCACTTCTCCAAATGATTTCCAGACGTCTTCTCCGATACGCTTCCTACCTTTCCGAATTCGAGTATACCTTGAAGAATAACGAAAAGGTTGACTGCCTTTCAAAGCTCCACTTCAATAATCCAATCCTACAATGGATGAAATTATTAGAGATGAAGTCAATCAAATTTTTTCTGATACGATATTCCACTTTTCAATAACAACATAATAGCTTCAACTATTAAAAATGAATCTGAAAAAGATCCAGATCCAGATGAAGAACCGAATGACTCTGAATTTACTTTTTTCAACCGACTTATGTTTTAATAAGACCGAATTATTGTTCCAGTAAGCTACGTTCCAGAATATTTGAACACTTCACGAAACTCATCTTGGAATCACCAAAATGAAACAACTTGCCCGTCGTTATGTTTACTGGCCACAAATTAACAATGACATCAAAAGACTATTTGAACAATGCAGAAATTGTGCTCTCAGTAAATCAAATCCTGCTGAAATTCCTCATTTATGGGATCCTTCAAAACAATTTGGGAAAGGAATCATATTGATCATGCAGGCTCATTAGATAATGGTCAGAAGTTAAGCGCCATCCAGTTGAACTACAATTTCTCTATTGAAGAATATATTTCGTTTCCATGGTTATCCCATTGATACTCATGTTTCCCATGGTTATCCATAGGAAGCAAATATGCACATAATGCATAAATATTCCAGCGTGAAGAATTTCGGCACATGGAATTATTCAAAAATGCATTGCTCCTGGGCATTCTGCTACAAATGTCCTTGCTGAACTCAACATTCAAACAACGAAAAATAATTGGAAAACCGTTAAGATAATCTGTCTTCAACTTCTGAAAAAGTCCAGCATATATCACTGCGATACAATTTTTCCTATGATTCTAATGTTCACAAGTGGTTACTCTGCCGACACGCTCTTTTCAAATAAGAGAGAGGGTCCAGGTTAGAATGTTTGTTAACAACAAAAATATTTGGCATTTTGGAAAAGTTCAAAGAAAGCTCGGTGAACTTCATTATTTGATTATCCTCGATACAGTAAGGACTATTAAAAGGCATATCAATCAACTACGATCAACTTTTGTTACAACATCACAGAAAAAAGCATCATTCGGATCAAGTCAACCCTTCATTATTCCTCCAGAACCTTTAAGAGCAGAAGATGATCATCCAAAATTAGATGCCAAAAAACCCAAGTACTCATGACAAACACCATCTTTCAGTACAACTCCATTTGACAGACCACACAGAATGAAACAACTATCCGTTTGTTTCCGGGATCATGAGATGTAGTTGATACTTGTTTCGGATTAGTGGGGAAGATTGTAATGATTCTTCCATCAATCTGTATATATTCTTATTAATTCAGTAACTGTTTCTGACATGAAAAGTTCAGTTGTTGTAGTTGTAGAAATTGAAAATAGTTTATTTAATGTCAATTGTATTTTTGTGTCCTACGTTTTCAGTTCAATTTAAATATACAAAAGTAACTGAAAGATTTATTTGACAAGGACTGATATATCCGTCTAAATAGTTTTCCAATTACCACACTATATACCATATATAGCCATAAAGCCATAATTAAAAAATATACCACCTCGGACTTTCTTGTAGTTTTATAGAAGAACAAACACGATGTAGTTATATGTGATACTGATTTCTTTATTGATACGGCTACTCTACGATCGTGCATACCTACTATCTAATTATTTCAACATTCAGATTTTAATTAAATAGACCAGACCAAATGACGCCCTTTGGCTTTCGTCAGCCCTAAGGAGTGTCCTCTGCATCTATTAAAAAAACCCTTCTCCATCACCAGAAAGCAAATACTGTCTCTTGACACGAGTTTCACTAACCAGGTTAGCATCATCACGTAAAATGTGCAAGGAATAGTACGTTAAAGGTAAGACCTCATTAATTTGAAACTCGCACAAATTTTGACTTCTGAAAGTTGTGGTTCGTAAAAAACGACAGATGGTTAACGGAAAAATAGATTTTAACAGACAGAAGTTCCAAATCCTACTAGTAGTTCGAATTCTACGCGTCAATGTACTTTTCGGTCAAATTATCGTCATGACTATGATTGAAAAAGTATTTTTTGTGGATTTAATATCACAGGACATTAGAATCGAATCCAAAGGCAAAGCCTCAGGGTATCTTTTAGCATTTGAAACTTAGGGGACAGTGCCTACTTAAAAAGAATCATTTTTCCGATTGGGTATTATTGAGTAACACCATTCGAATGTCTCATTTATTCAGTTTCATTAACGTTTATTGTTCACACTATTTATAATTATCACAGCAAATCTCATTTTAAACTACCAACAAGTCAAAGATCAGAAAATTTTCCTTCAAAATAAAAAGTTAAACCAAGGCTGATAATTTTTATCAATGTAAAGCAAAAAAAAATTAAATAAATGAAGCATGAAATAAAATAATCACAATGAATGATGAAAAATGCAAAAATTATCCACAATTGTCTTCAGGTGATAACTGGCCTATTCCTGATGTACGAGACTATTTATAGGTCACTTGGGAGCTTTCACTGCACTCCTTTCCCCTCCCTCCTTTTGGTTCAGTGTAACGCAGCCTGATTTTCCGCTTGATTAGTGGTTTCCATACGTTTCTCTACACTAGTCTGGCTAAATGCATCGTTGTTTAACATTTATGCACTTTCTTTGAACTTCATTTTGAACCAGTGTTCCTCCCTGTGGATATTTTCAGCTTCTGACCACTGGATGTTATATTAGTAAGTTCAAACATGTAATTTTTAGTTTTATCAATTATTGTTACATTTCATTCATTTTCACTTTATTTGTTCTTTCATTGATTTCCAGTCTGTTATTACCAAATTTCAAACAAACGTTTCAAAACTTATTATTTCGTGATGAGTACAAATGAGATTGGAATTACCTATATTTAAACATCAACAGAAAAAATTTGATAACATGTGCTAAATTTCTTTTCTGGTAGAATCGAAAACAGATGACAGATCATGATATAATCCTTATCCAATAGTTTTCTAATTGAGGTTGGTTATGTACATGTAGGTTTCTCTTTAAATTATTTGAACTAGAGAAAATTCTGAAGGAATGGAAATTCACCACTTATGAATAATGATCAGTTCAAGCATTAGTAGCAGGGGATCTCGAGAGAAAACTTGTTTTTCATCATTGTTATATCTATCAATCACTGTCAACAGAATGAAAATAATTTCTGTAAATACTTTTTTACTAGTACCTACCCAATATTTTATGGTTCGTTGAAACCAATTTTCCCAAATATGGAATATAGAGTAGCGTTACTCATCAAGACAAAACCTTTTTTTCAAACATTCATCTGAAATTACTGGATCGTTTGTTAACTAAAAAACTACGTTCGATAAGAAAACATATTCAATAAACACAACATGGCTTTTCATCTCATAGATCCACCAATTCACCTCTACACATTTATGAGCTCATCAACGATTTCTTTTGAATAATCTAGAGGTGGACTCTATATTGGCTTCTGTGAAGGCTTTTGACAGGGTTTATCATGATCTCCTAGCTATTGGCACAGGTAAGATGTTAAAATGCAGTTATTAGAATTCAGTATGTCAAATATGCTGATTCCATATCATCACAAGTTTCTGTAACATCAGGAATTCCTCAAAACCACATATAGGCCCAATACTCTCAATGAACAAATATATCACCCAAACCCTATTCCCGTTTGAGAAATATTGGGAGGTGTCTCTGCAAGGTAGTACTGGTTAATTATCCTTTCTAATGCAATAAGCCAAGAGACTATTTTCAAGGGAGACACTTCTGCCATACATCAAAACTATAACACTATTTTCAACGACTATTTTACTAACCAAGTTGGTGTCATCAGGAGATACCCTATAGTTCATCTCTTGATAACTAACTTGTTTGGTTAAATATGCTTCGTGACTGTTTTACAAACTGAGTTGGTGTCATCAGGAGATACTCTATACTTCATCTCCTGATAACTAACTTGTTTGGTTAAATATACTTCGTGAAGACTGAATAAACAATTTTAGTACATGAGAAAAGCTTTTTCACTGGATTTGTTCATGCTAAATATTTCAATTCGATCTTTCATAAATATAATTGATGAGGCATGTTCAAAGTAATTGACTAACTACTTTTATAAAATCTCTTTACAGTTGGGCTGGGTTGAATTTGTGTACAGACTATAACACAGAAGTATCATTTTGATGTGGGTAATGAGTTAGAACTTTCAAAGAAACAGGCATTGCTTGAAACAAATTTTTATCAAATAAAATACTAATTCATATATCACTATCATGTAGTAAGGCACAACTCTAAAATAATATTGCATGAAAAATAAAATAAAGACATTGAGGCTGTCAAGAAACAGATAAGAGTTTTTAAAGCTAAATATATTTCAGTATTTCAAAGTCCACGCCCAGGTATCACCAGATATCCTCTGGATATTGAATTCAAATCCAATTCAGGTCACATACAAAACTTGTACGATATCTTATGGATGTTCAGAGTGTTACACTCCAAACATCCATTAGCTATCCTTTGAACATGAATTGGATGTACTGTGGATACTCAACGGATGTTTGTATGTTGTCTGGGTTCATTACTTCACACTACCACCTTAGCTTCAAAAGCTCCATACCTTCTTCACAAACTAAATTTCTATTTAGGAATAATAAATGTAACAAAATATAACTAACACATTTTTCACCTTACAGGTAATAATTCTCGATAGATTATTTCAGAGACATATCAGATATTTCAGAATGGTTTCACTTCTCATGCCCGAACGTAGATACGAAACTAAATCAAACTATACTGAACAAATAATATTGTGTTAATACATAAATGATATGATTAATTCTTGTTAACCGTGAGAACGGCATTTCGTCTTAACCTAATTTGACACTAAACAATAGAAATCATCCAGAGATATAGTCATAAATATAGCAGTATAGAAAGCTATTGTGACAATATCAATATAATCACTACAAAAATATACATTATTACAATATAGAACTTAACATATACCATTTGACTGAGCTTCATGATTTTGTAAAACCAAACATACGAAACATAAAAGGTATAAAGTTTTAAATTTGCAATAAATATTATCTCTAAAACTTTGGTTAATTTATTGAAAATAACACTTCAATCTTCATCAATGAGTAAATTGAAAATAAATCATATCAAAATAAATTCAAGCAATTCACATAAATAGTAATCAAGTTTGTAGGTCATCTTTTTTTGTCAGAGCTGAATTAGACAGAAAAATATCTAATTTTTCTGTCTGTCATTATATCAAACAGTTCTCATAACCTGCTTAACACACTCAGTGACAAATTTTTCCTTGTCGCTCACTAAATCATTCAACAAATTTTCCAAACTATTGAGAGCCTCTTCAGTAAATCGGTGTCCTACTAAGCTTCGTAACATATCGACATTTCCAGAAGAACCATCAAACAGGAGTCCCGACGGGATGAATAATGTGATGTCGTTTATCTTACCTTGATCAACAACCATAGTTACTTTTAAGTCTTCACACTCTCCATGCCCATTAACAAGACAGTCTGGTACTTTGAACGATTTTGATATGTTGAATTTTGGAGTTTTTCCATAACACCACTCCCAACTGGTCAGTTGTTCACGTATTTTGTTCAAACCTGAAAATTGGTAAAAAAATCGAAACGTTCATAATTTGTTCAGTCAAACAATTAATATGTAAAGTTGAATCTATCAAAATAATGCAAAAAAACTTCAGTTGGTTGGTCGTTATTTAATATGTGACCCTTCAATGAATTCGCTCAAGAAAAATTTGTTCATGTCTGTTCTAATGACAAATCACGTGACTAGAGATCCTTCACTTTTAGTTTATTTTTTTTTTATTCACTAATAGATTCAAGACTACTAGATTCAATAACTAGTCACATGGCTAGATCTCCCCCATTTTTGTTATAATTCCCCAAACGTTACTAGTCATACAAGACATATCAAGCAATAACTAAAGATTATAGTTTATACTCCGAATATTTCATTTTTTACGAGAATATAACTAGTACATATACATCAAGATAGATTATCATTTACATGGAATATTTTTCAGACATGTCGATTTGTTTAACATTGATTTAAGGTAATTTACTAACCTGGGAACCAATCTTCGGTGGGATTTATCATTTGGAAACCTTTTTGTTTGTTTGCTAGTTCTGTTCCACCATCCATCAAAGTAAGGGCTGGTGTGCGCATATATTCCCAGCCTACAGCTGTCATCAACTTCATAATATCAACATTAGGTTCAGCCTCACACAAATTCATCACTTTAGATCTTTCAGATTTTGTGGCATTTGTCTTGATTTCAACCTGTGATAAAATGCATTACAGAGATAGATAAGAGAAGAATTGTGACGGAATTGGACAATACTTGATGAAAATCCAAAAGCTATTCAAATAACACTTTGTGACATTTCCGCTAGACCTAGACAGTTCACAAAATCGCAACACATGTTTCGCAAGAGTGATCAGTATAAAAACACTGATTTGAATAAATTTTTAAATGAATAAGAAAAGTAATTCATAACTAGCTTGAATATAAATCGATAAATTTCATGAGATCACAGTCAAATGTGTAGGGCTGTTACTAAGATGGCTATTTTTCATCAGCCAAGCTTTCTGTAATTTCATTACTTTGGGCAGGACAAATGAAATTGCAAAATAACATAATATTGTGTACTCTTCAATTCAATTTCTCCATTTTTTTCTGAAAATCATATAATTCATATACTTGCTTATTTTTTCCAATGTCAACAAAAAAAATAGATATTGGACATAGTGGCCAGAATATATAAGTTTTCATAACTTATGCCTCATAGAAGTTTTCATAATTGGTGAATGTATTTGTTTTCAATGAAATGCTTTTGGGTACCTGTTTGTACTGAAAGCAGCAAATGTTCTATTCACGACCCTTCTCAGTACTTACTATTGGTGAGATTCATGGCGGTTCAAAACAGTGCAGTATATTATTGGACCAAGAAGGCAAAGCTTTTGCTCTTTTATATCAACTAGTGGCCTGTTAACCTGTTTCCAGTGAAACAGCAGAGAAAGATAATGCGATTTTTCAATGAGCCTTTTTCCTGAGAATAGTACAGCGAACGTGTCAAGAGAGGCAGCACTAGTAGTAGGGAGAAACATAAACTATTCACATGTAAAACAGTGTTATTTACGTACCTAATATTAATTTTTCATTTGAAAATATAAATCTGATATAAAAAATCATTTTGGGCTAGTATAATGCCAACAAAACATTGCTGTTTTGCGAATTGTACGTCGGATAATCGATATGCGGAAGAAAACATGTTTTTTATACCATTTATAAAACCTCATATTAATGAGGTTAGATGTAAGAAATGGATACATGCTTCGAGAGTGGATTTAACAGTGCAAAAAATAAATAAATATTCATATGTATGCTCTAAATGTGAAATGAATAGTAAATTTTTCATAGTTAATTACCATTGATTAGAATGAGATATAACCTCAATCGTTTATTAAATTATATTCATTCATTATATTTGATTAAATTTATTTCATTACCATCTATATTTGATTCATATTTCACTCGGAAATAAATCTGAAATTCATAATTATTATGAATTTACTAGAGTCTGTATACTAACCTGTCTATTAATTCACTTTTTTTTCAGTTACTTTAAAATTACGGTATGCAAGCCAACGTTTTAATGTTACAACATTGTTATCCTTTACAGTTGCAAATTTTAGTTTTGCTCCAGGAACATTCTTTTTTAATTGTACTTTACCATATGTTTATATGAGGATTAGGCAGTGTTTGTCCCTACCGAACTACTAGCGCTACTAGTGAGTGATTTTTCGTACTTCAGGAAAAAGGTTCATTGGCGGTTGATTTCGAAGCTTGACTTTGCAACAGAAAACTTTTATGAGACTCTTGATCTGATTGGTGGAATTTGACTTGTCTTCATATAGGAATTTATCATGCCAACTTCTTACTCAGCATTATCAATGACGAGATCTGAGGGAGATTAAAACAGCTTTGTGTGCTCAAAACGTAAAAGCAACGCTTCTGGGCTTTGATAGTGACATTATTGTTGAGTAGAGTGATATGAAAGTAAAAATAAAGGTGAATGCAATCAAATGATAAATATTGATATGACAGTTTCGATATGTAATTGATTTATTTTCAAATACTGGTCATCTTCATGAAAAATGCTTGGGCCTATTGCCTACTGAATTACGCTGCATGATATTGAAACCCAGGAAACTAATGCTGCTTTTTGAAGGATGCCGATCAACTTCAAAGTCGATTCCTCAAATTCCAAACTAATGATTGAAATAAAGTCTCAAATAGCCACGTTAAGAACAGATATAAAGGAAGCTAGAAAAGCTAAAATTTTCAATGGTGGTAGTGAGGTAGTATTATCGGAAGTTGAATACAGAATAACACTGTCAAAGAATGATGATTTTTTTATAATGTTCCATAAGCTGGTTTCAATAAGACGAATAAAAAATTGAGTATGACTTTCACGTGATTGAGGATTTGCTGAAAAGAAAAATTTTCATATAGAGTATAAAATCTCTACAATTGTCTGATTTGGTAAAAACATTATTCAAGGCAAATCTCGCCCAATAAAATATTTGCTGATTTCGAAATTGCGAAGCGAGCCTTGAAGAGCAGAAACAGAAACCAAAATGGTACCAAAATTGCTAATGACTGTACAGTAAGACAAACAGACTACTTGAAATCATTAGGGCAAAGTAACAGTGAAATAAATCCCACGATCAAGAATGTAAAAGGTATATTTATCGCTTCTGAACAAATATTATTATTTTAAGATTACAAACTTGGAAAAGTGTTCAGTAGTGTTGGCATTATCATGATGAATAACCCATAAATCAATTCATATTGAAAATTTCAGGAAGCTTTGAAATGGTACAACAGTTTCATTCATTATCGATTCAAAATTGGTATCCATTTTCCCTCAAGAGGTATGTGCACACTCAAGACCACTGTGGACATAGAGAGTACCTAGATCAAATACACGACTGGCTATAGTTCACAAAACTCGCTGTTAACAGCAGAATTGGTTTGGAACCTTATCAATAACATATGGGATTTGTCCCGACAAGATATATGGAAGAGAGTATTTTCAGAAGGAGTCCATACAATCAGTACTCAAATTATATTTACATAATTTGATTACTAAAATATGTTTTCCGTCGCCCTCCTACGAAAAACAAACCTCAGAAGTCGTAACTTATGCAAGCTAAAGATTAATGAGATCAAGCGATTCCTAGCACCATTCATAAAATACATAAAATTTTTGTAAAATTCATCAAATATTGTTAAAATATGTTGCTGAACTATTTCGGAAATTCGTTTAATTCAAAATAAAAATCTGAGATAGTTAGATATCCATCCATTTGAATATCAGGATCTTTTTTTGGGTTTTGACTCGATTTTTTCGTAATAAAAAAATATTCAGAAAACGTGAATGTAAAGCTATTGTAGAACATTAAATTTGCTACAAAAAGTTCTAGTCAGATGAAACTGTACGACAAACAGTTTTCAAGTTACGGAACTTGAAACATGAATTTTAATAAAAATAAATATTCAACACTCAATAATTTTGAAATAACATAAAAAATTAACTAAGAATAAACTCTATGAGGCTCTAAAATTATCAATTTTTGAAAGTGTTCATTTATTAACAGTAGTTAAATGATAATTATAACCAATAATTTCTATGAAATCATCTCACATATAATTGAAATACAATTCTCACACATATTCATGTAATGTTTTTTCCAGTTCCATGAATTGATTATAAAAGATGTTAATGTTAATGCACCTGAAAGAAAATATTTGTAGGATTTTGCATCTAAAAACTCTAATTCTATTTGAACGGTTTAATCTTCCACATGAATTTTTGATAATATACAGTTGGTTGAAGTTAATCACTTTCTTCCTTACTTCAGAAGTTTCCATGTATAATGATGGAGAAGAAGAAAGCCAAAAAAAATTCTTCTCATAATACCTGTTTGGAGATTTTCAAAATATTTTGTGTCGTCAGTGACACTGCAGAATGAATAGTTAAATTTGTTCGATTGCTGATCTATGTATTTTGCAGAAATTCATATTGAATATTGGATAAAGAAAATAACTTTGTCTAATTTCTACCAAGATTTTCATTTGTGATGACCGATTTTGGTTTAATAAACCATTTTCAAGTTATTTTCTATATCCTATATTGAGAGTTGAATTAACAGAATTGATTTGAAATGTGACGAAGAGCAAAGACAATATTTATAACTGACATATTCGTGATGCGTTCCTGGAGAGAGAGCAAATCTGAAGAATTCCGAAATTAAATGAACAATTATTGCACATCATATGAAATGAAAACACAGCCTTTCCTTTCCTGATTCATCACAAATTGTAGCAACGCATTGAAAACAATTTTCAGATGCTCACAAACAAAGATTAACTGGTACCATGTATATCACATTAAAGAATGAAATTTATGAATAAACTTATCAAAATGATTTATTAGAAACCTTAAAGGTAAGTTAATTCAATTACTGTACATGAATGAGTAGTCTTGATAATTAAATGAATAAATGTTAATTTTTATTAAAATTCATCATTCAAGTTCCATGACTTGAAAACTTAGGGTCTTTCAGCCTCAGCAACTGGGTGATTTTTTGAAGTAAATTTATTCCTCTACAGCTTTTATATTCACTTTTTATATAAAACATTTTCAATACCACCCAATCAAGATGAAACCAAAAAAAATTTTTGTTGAGTAATTTAAATGTAAAATCGAATTTTTGAATTGACGAGAAATCAAATTCACCTATGCTTTTTTCAATGACAACTATTTTTGTATATTGTACTAGATTTTTTGGTAGAAAAAAAATATGCCCAAAAATAAAACACCACAGTATAAATACTACTTACATTTTGCTTTTGAAGAGCCAAACTAAGATCTATTTTGTTTGCGTTCACTAGCAGTGTACAGTGATGATATGCATTTGGTCTTCCCAATTTGGCTGCTGTTCCAGAAATCTGCTTTGTACAGTTGAGGAAAAAAACACAAACCTAAATCTGTGACATTCGCCAAGTATATGAAACATCAAAGATGAAATATGGTTGTTCAAACGATGGTAATATGAAAAAATATATTGTGGTGGCTGCTCATTCTTGGTATCATGTTTATTCGGCATGAGGCTACATTGTGACAAATTAAAACAAGAAAACCAATTTTTTTATATTCAGAGAGCCATCTTTGTGCTATTGTATTAAAAAAAATATTATCGTTTCCTACGTATTTCAAAATGTCTTTCAAATTACTGAAAACAAATATGATATGATATGACTCATCGAAAACTGCGTGAACGAACATAAATGGTGGCATAATTTTGTAATTTTTTTCGAATTAAAAAAAATAGTTCCAATATTAAACAAGAAAAACTCAACGAATATATAAAAAAGCTAGAAGAAATATTGACGTAATTCCAAAATAGATTTCAAGACTTGAAATGTTTTAAATCATCTCTTGATTATTTTTTTTGAATCCATTTGAAATTAATATAATTCAATGTGAGTTTTCCATTTCCAATATAATTATGGCCCAAAAATCATCTGGAGATTTATAATTATTGGAGATGCAAGAAGACCAAACTCTACAATTGAAATATAATATCAATCAATCACATGATATCAATAATTTGCCATTTAAATTTTGATTTTTAAATTTCACTTTCAACTTTCCATATTTTACTGTGGAAACAGCTTCTGTCGGGAAACAGACAAAAATTTATAGTAATGGATGAGTCCTACCTCCCATTTATATTTAATTGACATCGTGAGTGTGAGGGCAAAATCCTATTCTTTTAACAAGTAAAAAAAATAGAGACACATTATTATAATACATAAAAACTATATCATTCCATCTTGAACCCCCAAAAACAAATATTCATAACAATGATTTCATAAAAGAATTAAGAAACTGAAATTTCCAAACAGGTGGCAGGACAATAGCAATTTAAAGTGCAAGTGTCATTGACCTCAGTTCTAACCAAAACAATGGGGGGGTCAATGTTCACAGAACATTAAAATTTATTATGGTGATTGAGAATGTTTAATGGTTTACTTAATGAAAATATCTCTCATTTGTGAATCTTAATTTGACAAACTAAAATTTCGAGGACCTTAAAAAATATAAGGAGAAAACCTAAAAAAATGCTGTCCATATCAATGAAGAGTTGCCTACCAAAATGAAGATGATTTGGAAGGTACAAGAAATGATACCTATCCAAGGAAATACACTGTCACTTAACCTTGTCAAAAATTTATAGCTGGAAGGGTCAATTCCAAAAAAAAAAATTAAATAAACATTTTAAAAGCAAATTTGATTCAGATTGAGTCACTTCTCCAGGGTGATCATTATAAAATTTTGCAATAAGATAGGTATAAATTGATTTTTTGATTCAGATCATGTTTGAACCAAGCTTCACAAGATTTCTTGAAAGGGCTGTGGTGAAAATCTCATTTAATATTGTGGGGGAAATCATAGAAAAATATATATTTAATTTAGTCCCTATAATAAATTTGTGTATCATCAGGAATATTTCTCCGGCTGTATGAAGTAATAAGAATTATATTTTTATCAGTTTATACTTATTACAAAGGCAATAAACTATATTCAACCTGCTTTTGAAAATCATTAACATTAAGTAGTGGCAAATTGAAAACATTCCAAAAATTCAGATGTCTGTTGTTATTTTCAACTACAGTCAACAAATATTTCACTTGATGTGTATTTGCTTTCAAACTTTTGAAATGTTATTTTAACAATCCTTTGATCTTGTATTGAAGAACCCGTCATCACAGAAAGTATTGCCTAATAAACAAATAATCAAAATGAAGAAAATCCAGTCAGTTTCAAGATTTGTCTCAACTTACCACCTTTTACGAAACGATTGTCAATTATGTTTCTAGTCTTAAAAAATGTTTTTCATTGGCTAGTACGATAGTTGTCAGTGAAATAATAAACTTTATAGATGAACACTTATATATTTCTCTAGTAAATAAGTCGAATTATTAGCAGATCTAATTATATGGATACAAAATACATTTTTTTGAAGTTGTGAAAATGTAAAATTGAATTGCAGAAGCCTCAGAAACATGTTCATCTGAATTGAACACAAGCTTTTTACCTATTACCAGAAATGCAATGCTCTTCTCAATGCACGTTTCACCAACCAAGTTGGCATCTTGAGGAGAAGAGTTTTCTTCAGCTCATGAAGACGCCAACTTGGTTTGTGAAACGCTTGTCAAGAGTACAGGTGATTGGTGAAAGTGCTTGTTTTAGATTTATTCTATGAGTTTCCTGTTTTACCTCTCATTGTTCATCTGACATTATTCGAATAATAACAGAACTTCCTTAAAAGGGATGGAACATTTTTAAAAAGTGGGCTGTGTATAAAATTACTAATTTTTTTTATTGAATACCTGAAATTTTAATATTTGAAAATTTAGTTTCTCTCTAAAAAGAAAATTGTTTTACAAACTTTTTTCAAAAGGATTTTGGAGGTCAGATAATTTTAATGACACTGGTACTTACTCATGAAAATGCACATCCCATATTCCTGCCAAAATTTGGAATCAAAAGTTAGACTGCTTATTAATTGAATTTCAAAGTTATAAAGCACGTGATGATGTTTTAAAGTAATAAGTATAAAAAATTATCATTTTGCTACAACTGGTATTTAGCCAGACTTCTTACAATTTAACATATATTTTAAGGGGGGCAAAAATTCAACTATGGGTTGGTTAGAATGTTTCTAACATATTAACATTACCCTGTCTGAAAATAATGTTCATGCAAAGCCTTTAACTATAAAATGAAACTGTTAATAATCAAGACAAACATTTCACAATGAAAATATGAGATTATAAGATGATAAATTAATATAAAAAGGATACTTTGAAAGTGTTGAGTAGCAGATCTTCTCTTGGTGAAATTTCAACATTTATCCCATATTCTCTAAACAACGCTCTTGCAATGATTTCTAGATTATACTTTCTGTTATAATGCTCTCTCGAAGTGAAAAAAGTCAAGTTCAGATTCCCATTATCATGATATACAGTTCCTCCTCCACTATTACGACGTGCTAACTGAACTCCTTCTTCTGTAATACTTGGTAATTGTAAAATGTTTGCTTCAAGCCAAGGGTTTTGATGGCGACCAACAACTACACAAGGATTGTTTTGCCATAACATCAGAACATGATGGTTTTTGAAATCAAAATTATGATACAACCAATCTTCCAAAGCCAAATTGGTGAAAATATCTTTAGACTGCGAAATGAACACAGATTTTTGGATATCCTCCTCACTGGTAGTGATTGAGCTGGCAGAATAGTTTCTAGCATTTGCACGAGTAATAATGGAGGCAAATCTTGAAAACGATCGCTGTGCTAATGCCATTTTCAAGCAGGTATTTGTTTTTCAAACAATATTTATTTTACTGTGCCTTTTTTAATACTCTAATGAATCAGGAAGCTTTTTGTAGAAACGTTTTTGGAGGATGATGTTAATTCAATGAGATATTCGTGAAGAGCAATTGTTTGATGTAACCACTTCCAAGTTTGATGAAGAGAATTTATTCGTAATCTGAGTGCCAGACAATCTTTGGTTGAATTTAGCATTCCTTCCTTTGCTGCCAGATCGAACAGGAAAAACTCTAAAACAATCTGTCTTAAAAAACTATTTCTTTCAAATCGAACTACACACAACACAATACAATTTAAAAACAACAACGTAGTGAGTTCTTGAAGTTTAGTGGTTTTCAAATTTCCCACTGATAATTGAAATTCAAACAGTCGGAGAATCAAGAGTGGTTAGCCAACTACCCATCTGCACACTGAATATGGACTGAGAATACTGGTATAAGAAACAAATCCTAACATCTTTCAGTTCACAATCGACTTATTGATAACATATTTTTGATGGAATCGGTCGATAGTTGATGAAAATCCATAACGTATAACAAAGTGTTTTTTGATAGCATATTCAAATAACACTTTTTGAGATTTTTCACTTTATAGTTTACAAAACCGCGATACATATTTCACTATACAATTAATATAGCTTATACAGGTGTGTTCAGCGTTCATTTGACAGTTAGTACTGAACACGCCTGAATAAGATATTGTATGGTGAAACACGTATCGCGGTTTTGTAAACTGTCAGGTAAACATCTGTGTTGTTCAAATACGTTATAGAATGGATTTTAATCAAGTATCGGCCAGTTCAATCACATATGATTTTGGATAGTCCAAGACGATACAGACTTATAAACTGGAAAAATGAACAGATTTGAGAATAACTTGATGCTGTCAGGTGTCAAGGCCAAAAATAAAACAGTAATTGATGAATTTAACATATTCATAAAACGACAATTCGTCTAAATTTTATCACATTCTGTGAAAGGATCGTCAGTTAGGCCCTTTATATATTTTCGACGAATAATCGACTTGAACAATTAATTGCAGTCCGTAAAGGATACATTAAATAGGTGGGTACAAATAATCTGTTCTAGCATGACCATAACAGTTTCCATACTTTTGCTAACCACTCTGATTTGAAGATTTTTTCAGGCGCTTGGATGCATTAAAAACGATTAAGGGTTCAAGAATAGGGCTCAGGACAATGTAAAGTTGGTGGTTTGAATCTTAAGCTTATGGTAGATGGTAGCAGACAGGTAATACTACGTCTGTTTAATCAACGAATGATTCTTACTCCGGACATTTTTTTAAAGCAATGACAGAATGAGGGCCACCATCGACGAGGCTATCAGAGGGCGCTAGAGGGCGACAGGTCAAGACGACAGATAACATTCAAACATCTATTCAAGTGTCAAAAATTAGGTGTTTATAACATGCCCCATAATTTCACTTTGATCATCAGTTCAAAGGGTAAGGGAGCCAGGCTCCAACCTGTCTGAAATCAAAACGACGTGCAGGTTCACTTTGATCCGTGAGTAGCTTCGATCACAAATGAAGAAAAACCCGTAAGAACTGACCGCACGCCCCTCAGCGTCCTCTCTCGGCAAGAATTTTCGTGGTTGCCCAAGTTTGATGTTTGACGAAAGGTATTTTGTGGTTTAACTTATTCTGAGGGACATATTTTTAAGGCATAATTCATCAACATAATACGACAGGTATCAACTGATGAGGGCGCTGCGTGTGTGGAAAAATGGCGACGATAAAAGTGAGAAGTGAGATTTTTTTATTTTCCCAAGTTCTCACCATACTGGGCTTGCAAAATGGGACTGGCCGTAGACATGCCAATATTTGGAAATGAGAGGAAAGAAGGAAGGAAACAAAGTATAAACACATTTTCTGATGAAAACGGGGAAGAGCCATCTATGTTCATTATTCAAAGATTGAACTCAGGAAAGCATTGATTATTATTAGTGATACGCCGAATATTCGTTTGGTATTCGGCCAAATCATTCGGTCTTGGTGCCGAATATATTCGGTTCGAGTATTTCTATTTTCTTGGCTACACGACACGGTATAGAACTAGTAGATAAAACTTCTTATATAAGATTTATGTTATAATATAAGTCAAACAAATCCTATGAAAAATAATATGTTGAATAAAGCTGATAAAATAAAATAATTGAACTTCAAATCAACATTTATTTTTAAACCTCAAATCAGAAAAATATTTATTTTTAAACTATGATTGATTCAACATTTTTTTAAACCTCAATCAAACCACATTTCTTTTCAAAACTTATATCGACATACATTTTCAAACCTCAAATCAATATTTTAACCGAATAATTCGGCCGAATATCCGGTTCGGTGAAGGTCAAACCGAATAGAATTCGGTATACGGTTTTTCGGTGAAACCAGTATTCGGCGTATGTCTAATTATTACCTTAAGAAAAGTTACAAATATTCAAATATTAGTTGTTTCATTGATAAGTACATTCTAGTGATAAATTCTAGCTCAAAATCATTAGTGCAAATGTATGTGATATGTTGTAAACATTCCAACTGATGGTACATGAAAAATATTTTCATTCATGATATAAGCAAACATTCAATATATGGATTTCTTTGTTTTTCCTTAGGTTAACGCTGGAGCTAATGCCAACTTGCAGTGTTGGTGTTCAGAAATAACGAAAATCCTATTTTTTGATGTGGTATTTATGCCTACCATATTCATTTTAAACCACAGATCTTAGGTTTCTGTTTTCTCTTTCAAACAAACTTGAGGCGTTCTCGATTAGAATATGATACATCAGTGGTTTACATAAAACTGTCAGCAATTTTTAAAGCGGTTGTGATACTGGAACAATTGGCAATGTCTAATTGTGCAGTTGGTGGGCTAATAATGATTATTATGAAGAAGGTACTGTGCTACTACACTTTAGTGTAATCTGAACTGAAGAAATCTGAAATTAATCACATTGACTTAATGGATTCATCTATTAGTCCATTCGAAACGTTGGCGCCCTTTTATCGTTGTAAGCAATGATTTCATTGAATCTTTCTGTTGAATTTTAAAAACTCGTCATAAACACAATAAACTGGTTAGTATATCTGAATCAATTTTTTTTAATACATCTATTTTTTGTGTATTCAAGAAACATTTTATTGTGAGATTTTCACTTAACAGTTTCACAAAAACGCAACACGTGTTTTGCCATGCAATGGCTTCTTCAGGCGTGTCTTTACTAACTGAATCTACATATTCAATGCTTTACAAATGTTTTTATAATTTGATGTACCTGGATTTCAAGTACCTACTTGAATTTTAACTAGCCAACCTGAGTTTGTGCTAAATGAAATAACCTGAGCTTATGTACCAGTTTTCACATTTGAAAAAATATTTAGAAACGGGAAGTTATTTAATTCTATTTGGTCATTCAGTAAATTACCCGAATTCTTAAATCTATTCAATTCTTTCCAAACATTCAAAAAGATTGAGTTTGAAACTTTTCTCTTCTAAATTTAACACGTTATATATACATGATTAAACTCATGCTGTCTTTCTGGTAAGAGATTGTTTGTAAATGTGGAAATGGTTTTTCCATTCAAGAAACTACTTCCATGGAATTCAATTCTTTGGCAAAAAGTTCTCCCCGTTTAGCCAATATACCAATGATCACTTACCACATGGTGTGGGGAGTGGTCATTGTTTGATAATTCTGGCGCGCCCTCCCGAATGTATCGGGGCTTCGGAGGATAGGGCCTGACCAGCGCACACTACGATGAATAAAAAAATAATAATGATGTAGTCCTTCTCGACCACCAGAGCAAGACGATATTTGTCATGGAGTTTTCAGCTCCTGGCGAGACGAATATCGTCCGAAAAGAGGAGGCAAAAAGGAAAAAATATCGAGATTTTCTCTTCGAACTCCGCAGACTCCATCCAGACCACTCTGTCAAGATGGTGGTTCTGATTGTTGGAGTCCTTGGTGGAATGATGCCCTCTCTACTCTCGAACCTTAAAATCAGACCGGCTTGCCGCTCTAAGGCAGAAATCTTAGCCGAACAGATGCAGAAGGCTGTCATTTCTGGCTCACTGCGCTTGCTCAGGGCACATGATTCTCGGACCCAATGATCACTTACCCCACGGTGTGGGGGAGTGGTCATTGGTTAATAATGCTGGCGCTCCCTCCCGAATGTATCGGGGCTTCGGAGATAGAGCATGCCCAGCGCACACTACGGTGAAAAAAAATGCTTTTATTGAAAGAGTACTCAGTACAAGAGATACTATATAACTTAACCTGACAAATGGCAGAATTCAACATCTGCACATGATAAATCACGGTAAATATTGCTCTTACATCCAACCATAGATCTAATATTTCTAGCAATACCTAAGAACTGTCAGACCCGGATAGTGCGAACAACAAAATCGCATTGCACAACATGGAATTTTTTGCAATGATTTTCGATTTCTGGCGAAGAAATTGAAGTAGCAATAAATGCAGATAGGTATTTGTATAAGTTACAGTAACATACATTGTTTTTCAAAACACGACTAGAATATTCGTCGGATATTTTCTGGATATTAGTTCGTATTTCAAATTTTACTTTTATTCAAGTAACTTTTTTTTGTCAGATTATAACTAAATAGTTTACAAAACCGCAAACCACATCACTTATTTCATAATACAGTAACTTCCTCAGGTTTGTTCATACGCGTAAACATAAATTGTTAAATGAAAAATCTCACAACAAAGTGTTACTTGAATTCGTTTTGGATTATCATATCAAGTATTTTCAGTCTAACCTTGAGGATTGATTTTCAGTTGAAGTATTGTTTTGCGAACAGATAAAATTAAAGATTCTTCATTGTATAACAAATAATTTCATTTATTTGTCCTGACTGTACCATTGGTACTGATAATACCTAATTGACCTCATGGAGTTTTCAGTTTCGGGTGGGACGCAAATCCTCTTTGAACTCTACAAACGATACCTAGGTTACTCTGTTGAGATGGTTGTTTTAATAGAAGTCCTTGCTAAAATGATGTCCCTGGGTGATGTCCCTGTTATTGATTCATTTGTCATCTTCATAGAATATGTATATATGCATCATTCCGTTTTTAAATATTTTTTAATCTTATCATGCCAGCAATTATTTTCTTTCATTTTGAAACTTGATTTTAGTTTTCATTCTTCAGTTTTTTACTGAACGTCATTTGAACACGAAATGAAATTTTATAAACAAACATTTGAATGTCATCATTCGCATTTTATATTCACGATGCTATGCGTGCCATATCG